TTCTTCACAGCAGTCAGTCTGGTTTTAGATCAGTATCAAGACTTAAACTGTATTTATCAACTTTGTGCTGTACCAGGGTCAGAAGGTGCTAAGACGGTTGCTAAGACGGTTGCTAAGACGGTTGCTAAGACGGTTGCTAAGACGGTTGCCAAGACGGTTGCTAAGACGGTTGCTAAGACGGTTGCTAAGACGGTTGCTAAGACGGTTGTTAAGACGGTTGCTAAGACGGTTGCTAAGACGGTTGCTAAGACGGTTGCTAAGACGGCTGCTAAGACGGTTGCTAAGACGGTTGCTAAGACGGTTGCTAAGACGGTTGTTAATACGGCTGCTAAGACGGTTGCTAAGACGGTTGCTAAGATGGCTGCTAAGACGGTTCCTAGGATGGTTGCTAAGATAGTTGCTCAGATAGTTGCTAAGAGTAAGATAGTTAGTAACTATCCTCTGATTGGTCAGTCCTTATATGGTCATAATTGGATTTACAAAGACATCACATTTAAACATCACAGAGTAACCACAGATTTAAGCCCAAAATGGTGATGTCACACAGTTACTGAGCGAGAGTTTACTTTGCCATGAAGTCAATAGGAGCCAGACTTCGCCCTGAGCACTTCCCTGTTGGCTCAGTCTCCTCCTCACACAGGGAATGTTCGTACGTTTCCTCCTCGTTTAGAATTCGTCGTAAATCTGTCACAAACTCATTCACTCGAAATTAAATCTGCTGTTGAGAAACTGAGGTTAGGGTTTCACCAGACTCTGCTCTGCTCTACTCTACTCTACTCTACTCTGCTCTGCTCTGCTCTGCTCTGCTCTGCTCTGCTCTGCTCTACTCTACTCTACTCTACTCTACTCTACTCTACTCTACTCTACTCTGCTCTGCTCTGCTCTACTCTACTCTACTCTACTCTGCTCTACTCTACTCTACTCTACTCTACTCTACTCTACAGACAGACCAGTGTGGACTTGGACCAGGTCTCGGTCTGGGACTTGATTGGCCTCTGACGGTCACATGATGTTGCTGCCGCCACATTCCAAACATCAAAGCGTTTAAGTGTGAGAGGGAAAAACCGCATTACCCACAATCCCTTGGGCCACACTTCCTGCTCCGTCTGCCCACATTAGAGGCTCTGGGCGAGGCATCTGCTGCTGGTGATTCGCCAACAGCAGATTAGAAAAATAAACTATTAACACATGAAAACTAGAGCCGCAAGCGGTGAAGGATGGCCCTCGCCTTCACTCTCTGCTGCTGTGAGGTGCTAACGTTATTAACCTAGCTGTATCAAACACCAGAGAGGGACCAGAGAGAGACCAGAGAGAGACCAGAGAGACCAGAGAGAGACCAGAGAGAGACCAGAGAGAGAGAAACCAAAGAGCGGGCGGCTGTGGATACCTTTCCTTGTAGGAGTTGTGCTCAAGGACACACACACACACACACACACCCATAGACACACAAACAGACACACACACACACACAGACGCACACATACCCCCTACATAATGACTCAGGCTCCAAAGCTCTTAAACTCCCGCAGCTGTGACAGATGTTTGAGAAGGTGATCATTGACCTCACATGCACTAAGGTACAAACACACACACACACACACACACATACACACGCGCACGCGCACACGCACACGCACACACACACACACACACACACACCGGTTGAGCCTGGGACCCTCCGGTTGTGAGGCCTCAGTGCTAAAAGTGTTTATATCACATTCCTAAATACAAACGTAAAGAGCATAAACAGACGCCCCTGATTGGCCGCAGCTGCACCTCGTTTGCCCCACTTCCTGTACCCCAGGGCCTGATAGGTAATGCGGTCCGTCAGCATCAGAGTGACATCATCACATAAACATGTTAATGGAGAAAGAGATGATCAGAATGAGCAGAGAGAGACCAGAGAGAGACCAGAGAGAGACCAGAGAGAGCGACCAGAGAGAGAGACCAGAGAGAGACCAGAGGGAGACCAGAAAGAGACCAGAGGGAGAGACCAGAGAGAGACCAGAGAGAGACCAGAGAGACCAGAGATAGACCAGAGAGAGAGACCAGAGAGAGCGACCAGAGAGAGAGACCAGAGAGAGACCAGAGGGAGAGACCAGAGAGAGACCAGAGGGAGAGACCAGAGAGAGAGACCAGAGAGAGAGACCAGAGAGAGACCAGAGAGAGAGACCAGAGAGACCAGACAGAGAGACCAGAGAGAGACCAGAGAGAGACCAGAGAGAGACCAGAGAGAGACCAGAGAGAGAGACCAGAGAGAGAGACCAGAGAGAGACCAGAGAGAGACCAGAGAGAGACCAGAGAGAGACCAGAGAGACCAGAGAGAGACCAGAGAGAGACCAGAGAGAGAGACCAGAGAGAGACCAGAGAGAGACCAGAGAGAGAGCAGAGAGACCAGAGAGAGACCAGAGAGACCAGAGAGAGACCAGAGAGAGACCAGAGAGAGACCAGAGAGATACCAGAGAGAGAGCAGAGAGACCAGAGAGAGAGAGCAGAGCGACCAGAGAGAGACTTATCAATCCTTATCCTTGTATCAGTTTTAAACAGTGCTTTTCTGGACTCCAAGTCTCTTCACATCATTATCCTCTCTCTCCAAACACAGGTGATAAACTATTGTAGCCACAGCTGCCCTGGGGCACACTGACAGAAGCGAGGCAACCAGTCTGTGCCATCGGCCCCTCCCACCACCACCAACCATTCACACACACCAGACTCATTCTAATGTGGGGGAAGTGTCTTGCCTAAGGACACAACCACAGTTTGGCACTTTACAGCCGCAGCCGCCCCACTGTGGCACCTGCTGTTCAGAGGTCTCCCATCACAGCACTAACCAGGCCCTGCCCTGCTTAGCTTCAGAGGTCTGAGGGATCTGTGTTAAACCTGCAGATTTACAGACGATGTCACTGTAACAGCGCTAACCCAGGCTAAGGCTAACCCAGGCTAACGCTAACCCATGGAGGTCAATAGGAGCCAAACTTCAGCCTGAGCACTTCCCTGTTGGGCTATATTGATTTAGCGCGTTAGCATCGTCCATCTGTCTGTGATTCTTTAAATCCTCAGAACACGACCCAGGACACGACCCAGGACACGACCCAGGACACGGCTGCGTCCTGCGCCCGTGACTTCATCATGAGAAATTGCAGCAGGACTGGACCCCGGTCTTAAAGTGGACTTAACCCGGATTTAACCCGGTCCCGGTCTCAAAGTGGCCTCGGCCTGGTCTGGTCTCAGGTTGTATAAAGTGGAACAGCTGGATGTGGTCTGACAGGGGCCTCACACACAGGGGCCCCTCATCAAGGCCACAGCGGGGTCCGGCCACAGGGGACTGGGGTCAGAGCCTGTAGTTTTGGCCTCTCTTTATAAGTGATAACTCAAGTTCATCATTTATTTGAATTTTAAATCATCATTATGACTATTTGTTACATATGACTAAAGCAGGACTAAAGCAGGACTAAAGCAGGACTAAAGCAGATCTAAAGCAGGACTAAAGCAGGACTAAAGCAGGTCTAAAGCAGGACTAAAGCAGGACTAAAGCAGGTCTAAAGCAGGACTAAAGCAGGACTAAAGCAGGTCTAAAGCAGGACTAAAGCAGGTCTAAAGCAGGTCTAAAGCAGGTCTAAAGCAAGACTAAAACAGGACTAAAGCAGGTCTAAAGCAGGACTAAAGCAGGACTAAAGCAGGTCTAAAGCAGGTCTAAAGCAGGTCTAAAGCAGGACTAAAGCAGGACTAAAGCAGGACTAAAGCAGGTCTAAAGCAGGACTAAAGCAGGACTAAAGCAGGTCTAAAAGCAGGTCACAGTCTGACCGTCACAGTCTGTGACCATCACAGTCTGACCGTCACAGTCTGACCGTCACAGTCTGACCGTCACAGTCTGACAGTCACAGTCTCTGACGTCACAGTCTGACCGTCACAGTCTGACAGTCACAGTCTGACAGTCACAGTCTGATCGTCACAGTCTGACAGTCACAGTCTGACCGTCACAGTCTGAACGTCACAGTCTCTGACCGTCACAGTCTGACCGTCACAGTCTGACCGTCACAGTCTGACAGTCACAGTCTCTGACCGTCACAGTCTGACAGTCAGTCTCTGACCGTCACAGTCTCTGACCGTCACAGTCTGACCATCACAGTCTGACCGTCACAGTCTCTGACCGTCACAGTCTGACAGTCACAGTCAGACCGTCACAGTCTGACAGTCACAGTCTCTGACAGTCACAGTCTGACCGTCAAAGTCTCTGACCGTCACAGTCTCTGACCGTCACAGTCTGACCGTCACAGTCTGTGACCATCACAGTCTGACCGTCACAGTCTGACCATCACAGTCTGACAGTCACAGTCTCTGACCGTCACAGTCTGACCATCACAGTCTGACAGTCACAGTCTGATCGTCACAGTCTGACAGTCACAGTCTGGCCGTCACAGTCTGAACGTCACAGTCTCTGACCGTCACAGTCTGACCGTCACAGTCTGACAGTCACAGTCTCTGACCGTCACAGTCTGACAGTCAGTCTCTGACCGTCACAGTCTGACCGTCACAGTCTCTGACCGTCACAGTCTGACCGTCACAGTCTGACAGTCACAGTCTGACCGTCACAGTCTCTGAGCGTCATAGTCTGACCGTCACAGTCTGACAGTCACAGTCTGACCGTCACAGTCTGACCGTCACAGTCTCTGAGCGTCATAGTCTGACCGTCACAGTCTGACCGTCACAGTCTCTGAACGTCACAGTCTGACCGTCACAGTCTGACAGTCACAGTCTCTGACCGTCACAGTCTGACCGTCACAG